CCAAAACTGATGCGCGCGTGCGAATAAAAAAAAGTTTTGAAAAAAAAAGTTGTTTTCATTATGAAATCTACGTGGTCATGAGGGTTGAACAAATGGGACAGAATATGGTTTGGCGAATAATCTAATCTTCAAGTTCATTTCCTTACAATTTCGTATTTTTTCGTTTGATTTTGGCATTCTACGACATTGGTATAGTTTTTATTTATTTTTTGTAACTTACGGTATATTTTTGCTCATATTGCAACTGTTTTGTACGATTTACAGTATGGTTGAAAACTTTTTTTTTTTGGAAACGGCCGAAAACTCATGCGCGCGCGGATGTCATCCATATAATCAAATCAACATGGCCTGATATGATTTGGTTTTTAAAAAAGTTAAACAGGAATAATATTACAGAGATATCGCACACATTCATGCTATACCGTAAATGTTCGACATATGAATTGATGGAGAAAAATTATGATGTAGAATTTTTGTACAGGAAGAAGGATAAATTTTGTAATAGGTAAAACGGGTAAACACAACTCGTGCTGATGCATGATGTAACTTTATTATTTTTTTTTATAGCCAAACTGTACTCCTTTAGCGGAACACCTCCCCTGGCATGCAATCTCTCCATTTGGCCTATAGATATGTTACATGAATTTTTTGATGATGTACACATACTCTGCAAAAAAATGGAAAAAAGAAAACTTAAATGAAAATGACGTGTAATTTTTTTCAAGAAGCAGTAGCAAAATCACAAACTGTGGATCCAATACCAATGAATAAATTTTTATGGACGATATTAAAAACGATTCTACATGTAAGTTCTCCTATCAGGCTCCTCCTACTTACTAAAATGTACTCCTTTCGCAGACTAACTCCCCTGGCATATCTTTCTATTTGGCCAGTTTCTACTCTTTCCAGCCACTTCCCGAAGCCTGGTAGAGGCTACATCATGATGCACAAATACTCTGCAAAAAAAAAATCAAAGTGACATGTCCTTTTTTTTCCTAAAGAAGCACTAGCAAAATCACAAACTGTCAATCCAATGCCAATGAATAGATTTTGATAGGCGTTGATATGTAAATAATGTAAATATCATCTGATTATGTATTTCCATTCAGGTCCATACTTGATGCCATCCATAGGCTGGATGATGGGCTGAGAGACAAGCGTGCATACAAGGAGGTCTTCCAAGTGCAGAATGTAGCTCTCCGGAACAGGTATGCTTGTTTGTTTGTTTGTTATGTTTACCAAAGGAAAACATATTGTTTTGCTACCTTTACTCTTCTTCTTCTCCAAAAAGTGACTTCAATGACGATCCAGACTGTTGACTCTTACCATGGTAACTAGTGTTGGGTTACATCATGTTGCAATTTTATAGCAGGAGGGATTTAGACTCCTGTATGTGTCTGACAGACCATATGTGAAGGTGCACATTATGCATTTGCTTTGCAAATGTTACCTTTCTAGTTCATTAGGGTCACCTTTAGTATAAATTCCACACTTTTCTTTCTGGAGTCTGTAGAAGGAGATTAAGCTTAGTTTAATGATATCTCTCCCCATATGATATCTTTACACAGGCGGGTTTTCGTCTATCAAAGCTGACAGATTCGGCAAAATTTTTGTCTATCATGAGCAGCAAAACTCTGTCAAATGAAAGAAAGATGGACGCTGGCTAGAACATTTTCTTCAGTTTAACTCAAACTTTCAAACTGTACTACTGCAGAATTAATAACATGAATGGTTAACTTGCTTTGATCATACAGGTTGAAGGAACTGTGTGAGCGCCTGATGTTTCTACAACCAGCTGACTATGGAAGAAAAGCAGAAGACTTGTTGTGGAGGAAGGTCTTCTATGATGTCATCCAGGTTCTCAAGCAAAATAAGAGGGTGAGTGATAGTACTAGTACAGTCAAACTTGTCTCAGATGACCACCCAGGAGACCAACGAAAAGTTTTCTTCTTAGACAAGTGGTCTTCTTGAACAAAAAGACAAGACAGAGAACATGAAAATTCTACAACCATGGATTGTACCAACATAGATGAGCTTTCATTAAAAAAAAGGAATCAAATACTGTAAATCACTTTATTTTTATGTTAGCAAAATTTTGCGGTCTGAAAAAAATATAGTTCACGGAACTATATTTTGGTGTTCGGGATATGTGCAGAGAAAGATAGCCGGTGAATTATTTGTTTGTGGTAATGATGACTTTGCGGTACAGAAGTGACTGTGAAAACTGTGAATATAAAAGCACCGCAAAAAAATCATGATTTACAGTAAACACTTTTTTTTTTCCCCCCAGCATGTACGACATGGCAGCTCCGTGGAATGTGCCTTCCGCACGCACCTGTCTGCAGCTGCAGGATTTTACACCCACCTGATGCTGCGGCTGCAGGCGGAGTTCCAGGTGACCGTGTGGGGCGTGTGCGACTGGCCAAACTTAGCAGACCCTCTTGCAGGTATTCTAAAAACCATCAGTTGAACGAGAAAAGCACAACAGCTCTTGTCAGAAACAGAAGGAAGCAACTATTTTAATTTTTAACTCTCTTAATCTCGAAGCGTTTGACTGCACAATGTAACTCCAGGGCTCAAACTACATGTACTTTTTTCTCCATTGAGAAGTATGGATCATACTAAAAACTGTTCAGAAACCACTTTGCCATTACTTCTTTTATACTTCATAGGTGGTAACAGTGAACGCAACAATGTGTATATAGCCCTACTATATGGACCAGTACAGGTTAGGTGCAGGTAGACATCAGAAATACAATGTACCTGCACAGCTCCAAATTTACCTGCACTAACCTGCATATACCCAGTACATGGACCAGTGCAGGTTAGGTGCAGGTAGACATCAGAAATACCTGCACAGATCCAATTTTACCTGCACTAACCTGCATATACCCAGTACATGGACCAGTGCAGGTAGACATCAGAAATACCTGCACAGATCCTATTCTACCTTCACTAACCTGCATATACCCAGTATTTCAAGCCCTATGATGTTACAGTGATGAGTTATCATAAACTCTGAAGTGAGCAAAATCTACATGTACTGTATTTATGTATGGATGCCATTCAGGAAAACCACGTGTGAAATCACAACGTCAGGATGAGAAGGTGCGAGAGTGGGCTAGAAGGGCCTGTCATCGCTGTCTCATCTACTTAGGAGACCTGGGTGAGTTTGCTAGTCATTACTTTCCAGGTTAAAGTTGTCTTCTGTAACAGTGGGGTGATACAAAAAAGCCAATTTTCTGAATTGCCTTGAAGTTGAAGAAGGTGACAGACGGTCACCAAAACTGTTGAATAAAACACTTGGTTTCGTAAAAAAAAGATTTTTTTATTCAGGGACCAAAACTGATGAAACTACATGTATTCATAGATCTTGTATTGTGCATTATATAGTGCCAAATTGTTTTGAAAGTCTTGTTTCCTTGCATTGTACAGCCCGCTACCAGCAGGAGTTTGATGGTGTGAGGAGTGAGATGGTTGCTGCTCGGTACTACCACCAGGCTATTACCATGTTCCCAGACTTAGGTAATACATGTCATCTACTGTACCTTGGCGAAATTTGCTCCATACTAGCTGACAGGGTGGTCTTGTGCATTTCTATACATTGTTACCTCTCTGTTTTGCTGTTTTTTCTTTCCACCCTGATATGTACAATTCTAGATGAAGTTTGTCCTGCTGTATCAAGTATGAATGTATGTATGAGTGCTTTTGTGCTTTCATTGGTGACAAGACTTACATGTAAGAGTTTGTCTTAGTCTCTTGTTCAATAATAATGCCTTACAGGAATGCCACATAATCAGCTTGGTACTCTGGCTGGCACCAGCAACCATGGTGTAGACGCTGCCTACCACTACATGCGATGGTGAGATTCTTGTCTGTTCTTGCTATGAATTCCATATAACTTGTTGGTCATCAGCAGTACTCATTACATAGAAAACATCTACAACTAAGCCAAGACATCTAGTGTAGTAGATGTAGATGTACAGTCAAACTTGCCCAAGCTCTATAAACTGGCTATTTGTCTATAACGACCACTTTTTCTCAGTGCAGATTTTATCCCCATAGCCTTAATCATTAAGGGAATTGCTTAAGCTGATCACTTGTCCAACATCACCACGAAAGGTGCTATTTGGGACTGCACATGGCCCAATCTCTGTCTATGATGGCCGCTTCATTTTTAAGCATGTTGCGGAGGATGTTTTTTTGATGGTGACTAGTGAGAAATTGTAATAGAATTGGCTTGGCGTTGATTTTAACGGCACGACAATCTTAGCACAATGTAAAATGGTGCTGGCTTGGTCACTTTGGGTCAGTTGGGCAGTCTATTATAAAATGGGTGGAAATTTTGCTGCGTTTTTTTTTGTTCTTGTCTAAACTCGTCATCATGCTTTTAGTATAAGAAGACCACTTGTGTAAGATACCACCTCTCATAGTGGTCTCCCAAGCGGTCATCTTAGACAGGTTTGGCTATACATGTTTATTCGACTAAACTTAGCATTCTCATTGTTCTGGGGTTGTGTGTATGGGCATGACTCTACATATGTACCTCTACTCCTAAGGAGGAAAAAAATGTTGTATTTCCTGTTTCCTGACTGACTCTAGAAAAAACTGCCAACCCTAGCCTTTTTTTGGGGGGGGGGGACCCCCTGAAAGGGACATAAATTTTTCAAGCTGATCAACCTTTTCTAACACCTTAGTGATGAAACGTTATAATATCAGTTTTCCAACATTAACATGGAAAATATATTGGTGTCCACATTCAAGTGTAAATACTTTGTTAAACTGTATTGTCTAAGTTGGATCACTGGATATCACCAAAGTCTAACATATGTAGATCTAAAAAAAGAAAGAAAAAAGATAATCCCTACCTGCCAACCCTAATTTTTTCAGGACTGAAACAGGAAACAACATTTTTTTCCTTAGCCTAAGATAAACACTTAGCACTAACCTGAAGTTTTGCTGTCACCAGTCTGTCCACCATCTCCCCATTTGAGGGTGCAGCAGGCAACATTCAGCACCTCCTGGAGAAGAACAGGAAACAGTACAACCAGCTGCCGACAGAGGTCAAACGAGACCTCCCTCCACACAAGCAACGGTCAGAATTACATCTATTAAAGGCATTCAGTGCAATATTAGGGTGGTGTTAGCTTTGTACATCAGGATACCACAGATTCATTGCATTTCCATAGTTTTATTCTACGTATGGTTAGTAGGGTACAAAGCATGTATATGCTCAATGCAGTCCAGATGGCAAAGAGGTGGAATCTCAGGTCTCAGCTTCACTTGGTGGCTTGCTTCTGAATATGCATGATGGGCTATACTACTACAATGGGTAGGGGTGTTAGCCTATTCTTACTTCGTGTAACAGGTGGCAAAACAAGATTTTCAAAGTTTTGCTTCTCATTGTATTAATGTAGTTAATTGAATCAATTCTGTCCCATAGCGTACTGATATATGTGAGGCAAAACACAACAGTTGCTTGTTTAGTATCTCAGACTGCTTCAAGCTATTTATAGGTGGTACCCAAAAATAAAGAGAGCTTGTTTTGGGGTTATTTCAAATGCTTCATGTATGAAATGACAACGAAAATGTGCTAAGAAAGGGCAGTAAATATCAATATCAGATAGATTTACTCATCCACAATATATTTTGTTTTGCCACCTTGAAATTTGCATTACATATACCTTTACCAGGGAAATATCATTTGTTAGATACATATTAGCATGAAAGTTCATCTGAGTTGGTAAATTACATTATGAAAAACTTAAACTTTTCTCCAACTCAAAATTTGACTCACCAGAAATTTTCGACTGAATCACTCGCCCCCCGTTCCCGGTTGAGCGGGACGGGGGGTGATATCGACTTCAGACAACCTTTGACCCTTTGCTGACGTCACACGTGGGAAAAATCACATGTCCACAGTATTTGGGTCAGATAGCTGAGGAAGACTGAGTGATTCAGTCGAAAATTTCTGGTGAGTCAAATTTTGAGTTGGAGAAAAGTTTAAGTTTTTCATTAGATACATATTATTGTCAGAACCTTCATCTGTTCAACTTATTCAAGACAATATGTTGTATGTGCAGCACATGTATTCAAGAATGTTACTATTGATGTCTTACCTATAATATGACAATTGTAATCAAATATAGGGCTTGCTACAATGTGTATGTCATGTTTAAATGTAGTTAGTTTTTTTGTTCTCATTTCTAAAAAGCTGAACATCACATTTTTCCCTCTGTAGGTCTAAAGATGTGAAGCGGTTGATCATCACATTCCTGTACCTACAAGAGATGCTCCATCCTGACTTCAAGTAAGCCAAGGACTGTTAAGTGAAATCTTTTACTCTGTACGTAGTCTCAGGGCTGGATATTAGTTTTCAAAAACCTACTTGCCCCATAACATGGTCATTATGTTCACCAAAGGAAAACATTGTTTTTACTCAGTTTCTTCCTCCTCTTTTTTTCCAAACACTAACCTCTGACCTGGCCAATGACATGATTTGTTGACGTCTGCCACCATGGTGACTGGTGTTGGGTTACATAATGTTGCAATTTCATGGTCTGCTCTGCTCCTGTCACGATATACTAGTAGTACATGTATGTGAATGTGTTTGAGTCAAAATTAACAGGGCAGACCATGCCATGTCCTAAGGTAAACATTATGCATTTGCTTTTCAAATGTTACTTCTCTAGTTTCTACTGTCTTGGCTAAAGCAAAATTTAATGATATATTTCTATGTATTTAAACTTGTAGCTAGGAAATCATTTTATTTTTCAGTAAAAAGTTTATAATCTTACATGTTTTATTTACCAAAATAAAAATAAAAGCGTACCCAGAAACTTGGAATGGATTGACAAAAGGGCATACTTTTGACTGGCATCAATATATTAATTATAATTATCTTTAAGAAAAAATGATGAGTAATTTTTTTCCAAACACTGCTATACTGGGGCCATCCAAGGGGATGCATGTACATGTATGCCCTTACCCGATGCTTTTAGGTGCTTTTAGTTGTCCTATGCTAGCAGGCAACTGGAATTGTCCAGTCCTGCAGTCTACAATACATTATCATTTCCCTTATATACATGTATGTACAAAATGTATATGGCCTTGATGGAGTAAACAATGTTTTTAATAGTAAGTATAAAAATTTTTGTGTGCAAATTTCAATGCTGCAAACGTGGATGCGATATTGCCTTGATGGACTTAACAAATTTTTGTGTTCAAATTATAACTTTGCAAACTTTGATATAATTTGTTTAACTCATATTTTTATGACTTTATCTAGAGCCAATGAGCAGGAGCTTGCCAAGGTGTGTCGTGCCGTTTTGGAGGACTTCAACCTGTGCATGTTTTACGTGCCGCCGACCGAGAGCCGCGGCGCTCGGAAAGGCAACAACAGGGGACAGTGGCTGGACGACGGGCTGGTCTTCAAAATGGTGGTCATGTGCCTCATGGCTATTCACTCCCTACAGATATCTAGTAAGTGTTCAAAGGATAGGGCAGTGTTCTAACGGCATGATATTTTTTTCCGTCATCTCAATTTTGATAGATGTAACATCATATCAAGCGCCAAAGGTACAACAATCCTAGGGGGGTCCGGGGGCATGCTCAACCGGTAAAATTTTGAAATGTCAACCTTCTGAAACACTGCATTTTGAGGGGTAAATTTTTCGTGTAGACTCACTAAAGCTTAGTTTAATGACATAATTTTCAATCTTACCTGCACCAGTGCAGATATGCAGGAAAAAGTATTTGAAGCCCTAGGCCACACCAGTTTAATTTCTTGGTTAACGGATTCGCCTGCTTCATTTTTTTTGCAAAAAAAAAAAAAATTCAGAATCAACTGCAAAATGCTCATATTTTGCCCTTAACAGTTGGAAACAGTCCGTTTCTTCCCAGTTGTTACAGTTATTCCAGCTTTCAATGCAGTGGTATCATTAAAAGTTCAAAATTCATTGTTTACATTTTGAACCAGCCTAAGCCTACTGTGTTGACTTCATGGCTCCTAATGAGTCCTATCGTACCAGTTTGGGCCTTAATAGGATGCCTAGGTCTGTTTTTATTTTTATTTTTTTCGCCCGTCGGCTCCATTATTTTCCTAGAAAAATCTGTTAACCAAGAAATTGAATTGCTGTGGCCCTAGGTTCATATGTCTGTTGTTGTGCACAGGTTCTCCCCAGATGTCTGCAGCTGTGGCATTCACGCTGGCCTTGTCGTCGCACCTGCTGAACCACATCAACACGCGGCTGCAGACTGCCCTGTACGAGGCACAGCACCCGCAGGCTAACACAATCACCTCACAGGACCAAGGTACATGTATGTCTCATACAACGTCTTTTTTATGTACGTTTCCACAAAAATTGTTAAGGCAAACCTCATTTTAGTAGAGCATGTTGTTGACATCTAGGTAATGAGATGAAACAAAATGTTCATGTACATAAGGCTATGAGACTGTCCTGGCATTCAGTGAAGAAGGTGGCCAAGGACAGACCCGAATGGAAGGAAAAGTCTCTGGCTTACATGTATGTCTGTCAAGGGATTAAGAGGATAAGTAAGTTAGTAATGAAATATTATGTACATAAACATTTTGTTTCATGCATTTCTCATATTGTAGACAATGATGAAACTAAGCCGGACATGAGCGCAGTCCCTGATGAAGATAACTACAGTCAGAGTCAGACACACGAGGAGGTGACTCTGTCAGGGAATGATTACATCAGGAACAGGCGGAGGGTAGGAGAAAGTCATCGGGAAACCAAGAAAAGAGCCAAGAAGCACAGGAAGAAACTGACAAAACTTCAACAGTTCAGGTAATCAATTTTAGAAACAAAATCTATTTTTAAGAAAAAGAAAATTGACTAGCAATAAATATGCTTCTGTCAATCTGTAGCAATAAATATACTGTAGTTCAATGATGCTAACGTCAGCAGGACATTTTTTGTCATCACCTCAAAAAACTTTCAGAGATATACAGTCAAACTTGTCTAAGACAACCAACCATGGGACTAACGAAAAGTGGTCTTCTTGGACAAGTGGCCTTCTTATACAAAAAGCATGCACACATGACAAGACAGATAACATTGACAACTGCAGCAAAATGTTTTTTACCCATTTTGCAATAGACTGTCCTGTTGATCCAAAGTGACCCAGCTGGTGCCATTTTACATCACACAAAGACTGTAATTCCGTCAAAATCAGTGGCAAACTAACCGATTCCATCAAGATGTCTTGCTTGTTCTCATCAAAAGTTTTCCACCGCACACTTGAAAATGCCGCAGTCACCATAGGCAGAGATTGGGCTATGTGCAGTCCCAAATAGCACCGATTGCAGTCATGTTGGTCAAGTGGTCGGCTTAAGCAAGTCACTTAATGCTTACGTCAATGGGGAAAAATTGGGACCGAGAAAAAGCGGTCATCATAGGTTGGTCACTTGGGCAAGTTTGACTGTAGGCGCCTTCCTTAGTGCTTTTTCTAGTAGCTTTCTTATCTTGTATCTATTGTATCCATTGTTTCAGGCGGCGCCGCCGACACGACAGTGGTTCTGACCTGAGTGAAGAGGACCTGAGTGAAGATGAGTTACTGAGTGTCTCTGAGTCATCTGAGACGTCTGACAGTGATGAGTCCACATACTCAGGTATCCATGCACTCATTGTCATAGTCAGTTGGTGTACAATGTGTCTTCTTTACAATGGGAAATATAGCCTTCAGTCTTTAATCAAAGGCTATGGCTATTAATGTATTTCAATAGTTAAGGCACCCAATGCAATTTTGGGTCAGCAAAAGAAAAAATTGTAGATGAGGAAATCTGTCTGATATTGACATTTACTGCCATTTCTTTGCACATTTTTGTCATCACTTCATGTATTCAAAGTGCTGAAATAGTCCCAAAATAAGCTATGTGAGGTTTTCCTTTATTTTTTTTGTACCACCCATACTAGCTAGAATAAGCCTACGATATAAAACAAGCCACCATTTTCCGTCAGTAACGTCGCATATTGCCTCGCAGATATCAGTATGCTATGGAATAGGGTTGAGTCAACTTACCACATTAAAAGAATGACCAGAAAATTCACTATGATTATTAGTATGAAAATCCAGTTTTGCTGCCATGAAATTGCATTGGATGCCTTTAAGGCTTTTATGGTTGATAGTTATAGGCTGATGTGTACATAATCTCTGCTAGCTCAATGGAATTTGTTACATTTCATGCTATAGATAAATTCCCTACTGTGTACAAATAGGTAAATATATAATATATCAAAGACTGTTTAGACCTTAGAACAAGTAGTATAAGTTGATTCATCTAGTCTTGCACGTAGGTCAATTTTAGGTCAATTTCGTTGTACCTACGCACATATGTATCTGTCTGTACTTCGTATGTCTACATGTAGTTAAAGACCTTACGAAAGTCGCTGTAGAAAAACTTGGTTGGAGTGCATCCGGAAGGATATCAAGGAGTGTGGTCTGTCCAGCACATAACCCACAGGATAGAGCTAGCTGGAGGCGTGGTGTCCAGAACAGCCGACTGCTGCCCACCCCTGGGACAGGGAAACCGACAGCAGTATAATCTAGACCAGGATAGTGAGTGAGTGAGTGAGCTGTACTTTTGTTGTGTCGATAAAGCTCTGTAATTTTGCTTCCTGTTTTTCCAGGTTCGGGTACAGAGTCCGACAGTGACAGTGCTGACAGCCTGATGGAGAGTCAGGAGCTCCAACCAGGCTTCACCGACGAGAGCAAAACTCCCGAGGCCTGCAACTCTCCCCAGTCTATCCTATCCCAGTCTTCAGAAGAACATGACGTAACGGGCAAGAACGACAAGATAGAAGGACCCTGTGGTGAAGTGGGAGGGAGCAGGAAGTCTGGTGAGTATCAGGCCTCGAAATTAACTTTTCTTCCTATTGTCCCAGCACTGTCCCAGCAAAAATATACTTTTGATTGTCCCGAAGTGAGGATGAACTGTCCCAACCTGTTTTTTTGGAAGTATTGTATGACTTCATCTTGAAGTCAACTTTATTTTGCTTAATGTTCACTCCCAGGCACACTATAATTGCAGAGTAGACAGGAAATTTGGGAAGACTTTTATTTTTGGCGACGCCCTTTGGGGGCGGAGGCATTTGTGTAAGTACTACGATCGCTTTGAAAGAATTTCAAAAATTACACGAATGCATTCCCTGGGGAATTGGTTTTGAGGAAACCTTCGGCCATGTGGTTTTTGGATCAAGCAGGTAACTTACACCGGTGCCCACGTGCCACCCATCCAGCTGCCTGGCAAGATTAATTACTGGTCATCAGTCTTCTCCCCACACCATGGACAGAGAGCACAGCTGTCTCTGGCCAAAGACCATATCAGATCACAGAGAGAAAAGAAATTGTCCGTCCTTTTGGATCCCACAAAAGGTAAAAAAAAGTCAAAGGAGTAACAACTTCAGACCAGACATAAAATCCAGTCTCTGGTGGAGGATAGAGTGAAGTGAAATGGAGGATGGTTTGGTTGTAGCGGGAACTCGACCAAAGTAAAGTAAGTAAGTACTAGTATGTCATCATAAAATCTATATTGCTGGGGAAGAACGGCTGATTCCTCCTATACGTGTATTTGGTATATTGCCCCACACCTCCTCCACCCATCCTGTAAATTTCACTATGTGCATGTCTTTATAAGATAGGGAAATATGTTTTTTCTGATAATTGTAATGTAGATTGCTAGCTCCACCACATAGAATAATATATATCATTCAGTCGTCGCCTTGGCAATGATTTTTATTGCCTCAGCCTTGTTGATTATTTTTCTATTGTCTCAAAAATGTCCCAGAGTGTGTTTTTATTTGTCCCAGCCTAAATTTTAGTGGCCAGTGGCCATTGGACCACCTTTAATTTCGAGCCCTGCGTATCGCAGTGTTCTAGCCAGCCTGAATTCTTTTTCCCGTCATCTCAGTTTTGTTTGATGTAATCAAGTCAAGCACTGAAGACAAGATCCTTGGGGGTCCTGGGGAATGCTCCTTTAGGGAAAATTTTGAGCCGATTTCACCATTTTACTTTTCATAAAAGAAATGGATTTCGCCACACATGGATGAAAATTGCACAGTTGTCATGGGCAGGAATTGGGTGGTTTAAACGGTCCAAACTTATTCCGGTCGCTGTGGCTTTATAATACAAGTGGTTGGCTTAGTCCCTAATACTTACATCTACATCTATGGTAAATAGAGGTGGTCTCTATCTTGGGCAAGTTGGACTGTACAATTTGTATATTTGTGCAGTCACACAGGCTTCCAAAGGTTCTATAGAATAATTCAAACATGTTGGGTGTTTTGATGTGCTTCTCTTAAAAATCTTAATACTGTACCAATTTTTCTCAAATTTGAGGTGGTTGGTTGGACAGGTTTTGACTGTATTTCTGATGATTAGAGGTGTTTTCTTTGACAAGTTTGACTGTACTTGTGATGAATAGTGGTTGTTCTCTTAGACAAGTTTGACTGTATTTATGATGAACACGTTTTCTAGAAGGGAAGAGCACCCCCGAGCTGAAGGACATGTCTCCGGAGATGTTCCAGTCTGTTCAGAACCCTGGCCTGCTGAGGAGGAACATCAGACTGGCCCCCAGCTTTGACGCTCTCCGAACACCCGGGGAGGGACCTGACACCACACACAACAACATGGCACACAACAGCAGCAAGGACTCAGTACAGGATGTAGGTTCTTGTAGTAGATGTAGAAGTAGTAGTAGGGTTGAACAATGCCCTGAATAGTTTCATCAGGTTGGTAAGGCCTAGGAAAAAAAATGTTGTGTTTCCTGTTTCAGTCCTGAAAAATTAGGGTAGGTAGGTAGGGTCTTTCAAGACTTCAGCGATATCTATATAGGGGTCCAACTTATACCATACAGTTTAACAAAGTAAAACTTGCATGAGGACACTTTTAATCACAATGTCAATGTTAGAAACCAATTGTACAACGTTTTATTACTCAGGTATCAGATCAACCACTCTTCTTCAATGTCACTAGTGGAAGTATTTTTTTCAGAATGTCCTAGTAGAATTTCAATTGTCTATGAGTATCATTTACCTGGATGTCTAACCTTCATCAACATCCTATAGTCTTAATTTAGTATCTTCTTAATCATCCATACACTTTGTTTGATCTGTGATACGAGTAAAAGCTTTCATCCACGCAAAAGATACTTTTGATAAAATTCTTCTCCATCTTGCTTGTACTAAGTCTTGTATAAGTCTCTTTGATTAATTTGCCCTTGTTATATCAATTCCTAATGCATCAGGAGGTTATAAACCACAGCATCCCAACCCCAGCCACAAAATCTGAGCCAGACAACGTAGATGACGACCTTGACTCGGGGTCAGAGGAAGACGACACCGTCTGTAGCAGCCCTAGTTCCCCTGAGGAGAAACTTTCCTGTCTGTTGAAGGTTTTGACCAATCAGGGCCTCTTGCCAACCATCAAGGTCATCTGTGATTGGTTGAAGTACAACACCCACATCATTAGGACCTGTGCACAAGTGAGAGACATCTCAATTTTGTCTTTGAATATAGTTGCATGCACCTAGATGAATGTTGTTTGCAAACAATCTTTTGAAGCTTGTTTTTGTCATGCAAATATAGAATCTTTTCTTGTGACCAGCCGTAGAAACAAGCTGGAAAAATACTTAAGCTAGCCTTGGTGCTGAAATTGGTGTGGCCATTATTCCAAGCTGTAAACCTCTATAATCTCTAGGTATAATTCAGCTATAATATCACTTCGATGTACAAACAGGGCCATTTATGTCCTTTATGTGTAGCATTTTTTTGCCAAATCTTCATACTACTGAACCATTCACGAATTGACCCTCTTGAAATTTACATTGGGATGGTAGGTCACTGAATAAAAAGACTCTTTTATATAGTATACGCAACCCAGCAAGGACCAGTACAGGATTTATTCAGCTGATGTTTTGGTGACTCTCAATGTGTATTTGTGTTAAGGAACGCATCTATAACCAGGAACACCTGTGCTGTGTAATGTGAACCAGTCAGAATTGCCCTGAGGAAGGTGACAGATGGTCGCCCAGTCGTTGACTGAATAACAAACTCAGTTGCATCTTTTTATTTAAATGAAATGACCCTGTATCATCACACTGCTGTCTTGCAGAGCTCTCAGTCCTTGTGGACCAGACTGGCCACACTACTGAACATGCTGCCTCAGGAGTCACAGCTGTGTGGGTCAGGTGAGTACAGCTACATGTACAGCACAAACTTAGCATCTGTTGTCTCTGTTATATAGTACAGGGTTAGAACTTTTTCCAACACAAAAAATTGGCAGTTGTACTACTGCAGTCTTCCTCAGTATTCAAGTGATAAATCAACAAGACAGGGCCCTGCATCTATGTTCCAGAATTCACCCCAACTCACTGTCATCAAATATCTCACAATGCATGAATCTTGAGGTTTGAATGTTGAATCTTTAGGTCAGGAACTTGCATGCTAGTAGAGGTTTTGTTCAATCCAGTGTTTTAGCCGGAGCAAACAGAGCAAAAACAATATGTTTTACTTCGGTAAACATAATGACAGAAAAAAATTTTCAGGCTGGCTAAAACACTGCTTCAATCTGAAAGAAAAACACCTAGAAAATTCCGATGTCTGTTTAAATAATAAAATAATATGTAGATGCAGAGCTTGCCAGTGTGCTGCGAGGCCTGTCTCAGAAAGACTGGACCCAGGGTCTCCCCCTGCCTGAGGACGTCCAGCTCAGGAGTGTGCCAGCCCTGGACCAGTCCCACAGGAGGATCACCATGGACGTCAGGAACATGAGAACTCTCACACCACATCAGCAGGTGGGTGCACGTTTGTTTTGTTTTTGGTTTTCCTTTAATGCTCAAGATCATGATGTGTGTTACAGTCTGTTGTTACAGTAGCTTTTGAAATACAGCTTTGCCTCTTGCAGTTCATGTGTGAGTTGATAGGAGATGACTACACAGTATGAAAGTGACTAAATACAATTGCCTGAGGTACCAGCCCAACTGAGGAAGGGCTGGGACCAACGATGATGCGGAATACATTGTACTCCATGTAGTATTCTATTCATGTCATACCCACCCAAGAAAACACACATTTCAATGGTGACAATGCAAAATGTGCCAAAAGCTTGGTGTCCCTAAACAAAAATTGTCAGAAAACCAATGTCAACATTCGAATCTGGTATTCAAATTTTTGAAAGCGACACATACATGTACATTCAATTCATTACAATTCATTGCACTTCGTTACAATTCAGTATATGAAACTTTTGCAAGCCTGCACATTAACCAATTATAATCCCAGATGATATGGGTGACACAGGCTGGAACACTCATATCAAAATGTTATCTTGGCCCAATATCAATGAAGTGCATGTACCATGATCCTCTTCACTACCTGATTCCTTGCTTGTATCCTATGTTCAGATAACAAATTCACTGGAGAACACTTCTGATTCAGTAGAAGTGATAATGTCTGACGTTGCACATGTCATTTCAAAAATCATTAAGCATCCTACTCTTTCCTTTCAAGTTTCATACATGTATGTACATTTTAGCTGATCCTTTTGCTTTATTTGTAATCCTCTGCACCCACAGACCCTGCTGCGGGTGTGCTGCATCCAGAACTTTGGCCACTTCCTGGCAGACCTCAAGGTGACGCCCTTCCAGTTTGACTCGGAGCAGAGTCTCTTCCTTGGCCCCTCAGACGTGAAGGAGCTGAGGAATCAGCGCACCCGGCAGGAACAAGCAGAACTGCAGGCAAAAAAGGTAACATTAGTTGTAAAGGACTAAGTCTTATTGTTATAGGGCCTAGGAAAATTAATGTTGCTGTGTTTTCTATTACAGTCCTGAAAAAGTAGGGTCAGTAGGTAGGAATTCACTTCAGAAATCTGTTTTTATTTTCTATCTATTTATTTTTTTACATTAAATTTCAAGCCATAGTGATCCAACAAATACAGTTATTAATAAGTATAATACTGAAATGCAGTACACTGGCATTCATTTTGCTTCTGATTTGGTCCAGTGTACCAATACGCACCACTAGTTTTTCCTATACCTTTTTTTTCCTATGGAGTAGGTATCTTTAGCCATCCTATAGTCTGTCTTGTTGTAAGTTTGATTATGTTAGTGATATAACGGTTTATTACTGATATTACTGATAAATTATGCCATGACAGCATTGAGCAGCCAGCAAACACCTTTACCCTACACATGCTGCATAAGGTCTTTAATAGCAATCTCATCAGAAGCTAAGAAATAAGAATTAAAGAAGCTAAGGTGTACGTAACAATATGAGTTCAACATTGTCAGTAAAAAGTCCTTGATCTCCCACTAGTTCATAATGATATGAACCACACCCAGTTAACCACATTTTCAGACACCAGTGTTACGTTCTTTGGCTCCTCAATGACAGACAAGCCAGTATTCAACTGCTAGCTGTAAGGGTCACTAGACATTGCCATGGCAACATCACTGGCTTTTTTTAAATGACAGAGTAGCATTGCTTATGCATCATTGCCTTCACTTTTCCTGTAGCGATGGAGAGTGCAGGGTATAATACGTGGTTGCCAAGCCTCCATTCTTTTCCCATCTATAAATTGTTGTTGCATTTTGCGTTCCTGAAAAGGCAAAAGACCAGGGTAATTGGGCGCAGCTTCCGTCCGCTACATGGGAATTAAATGACAGGGACCCTGCAGTGCGATTATTATTCCTCCCCCAACTATATCCGCTTTGCCGCAAATTTATGTGTTACAGATTTGAAGGCAGTAGATTTGGCCCTAAGATGCGACCTTTACTTGTGAAGTTTGTGCGCAATTTTCCAAGCTTGATTTACACGTCTCCTTGACACGTCCCCACCGCAAAAGTAAGACGACAGAAATGAAAAATGTGGCAATAGAATTGCCGTCCTCTCGGGAAAGCGAAATATATGACTTTAGTGTGTAACTGTTCAATACTTCTAAGCTTAGATTAGGGACGACTTTGTTCATACGGAGGAAGAATGATGGCGGCTTAATTCCCCGCGCTGGCAGCGACCCCTCGAGGCTCCCGCCTGCAGTTATGTCTGATGGAAAGGTTGGGGTCGTAGATTTCCAGAACGAAGTGCCGTTCTGTTCGGTACAGTACAAGGATTTGATGTTGTGCAACTGATAAGTTACTTGAGTTTGCGGACGGTTTTTATTTTGTCTCGGGGTGGCCCGTCAATCTGTAACTGTTACCGGAGAGCGGGCGGATTTGGCGTCGCCCGGGGAGTCGTGTGCGGCCGGTTCCCGGATGAGCAAATGGTCCTTTACGGCCGTGTAGTGATGGCTAATGGGAGGGGTACTTTCCACGATGAGCGCCCGCCGACGATCTTACGGTCAATATGGCAATAAGACTAACAAATGTTCCCGCTGTACGCTGATTAATCCGAAATCGATACCGGCTTTCTCCGGAGCCGGCGATGCTCGATAACAGTGAGCACGAGGTAATAATTGACTTCTGGCAGGAAGGGTGGCACCAATTTGGAGACACTTGGCAAGAGCACACTGGTTACTTTGATGAGAAATATGGGGAGCTTAACGTGCTATATTAGCTGGAGGCTGGCTGTTTTCATTAACCTCCGAGCAACAACTTAGGGCGGGAATTACTCAGCCACAACTCCTGTCCTTTTAATTGCGACTGTAATCCCACTGATTAGACTTTCTGCTCCCCGTGAATAACATCCCGCTTTATTAGTGCCCGCGGCGAGCCCAGGATTGCCTGGAAAGAGAACATCAAAGTACGCGGGTCTCGGCGGGCCCGGGAACGTTCAGGACTGAGCTCCCCTGCAGGGTTGATTAGGAGGGATAACTGGGACTGACATTGATAGTTTGGTCTGCCGGTTTCCCGGGAGACCGGCGGCTTGATGAACCGGAGCGGTGTGGGACTCCTGAAAGCGCTGGTAATCAATCAAACCAGTTTCATTATGAGGTAATAAAGCTGTTGATTGTATCCGTCCCTCTTCGGTGGCCATTGTGGGTAATCAATGCTGCATAAGGCGGCATGATCGAGGGCCGGGGTCTGCTCGCGTAAGGGGGAAAGTTTCATAAATTCTGCGGTAGATTGAAAACCTGTTGACCCGAGCATTCCTACCCGCCGTCCATTCCGGGTGATGTAGACGGACCGTTTACGTCCGCGGCCGTGTGGCGGGTAGCGCGGGTCCCCCGCGGACCGGCCGGGCGTATACGTCCGGGGAGGTTGTTTCGCAGGTTTTTAATTTCATCGGCATCGATAACCTGCACGCCGCTTGACATTTCCCCGTCTCAGGTGCGCCTCCGCGGTGGCAGAATTAAGTGGGCAGGCGCCAGCGCAAAGGCCAGGGTTCAACGCTTTTATGGCGTCTGCTCGCCGCTGTCAGTCTGGACGGCTCCGGAGATGGTCGGATAGGCGAGCGGCAGTTAATTAATGGACCCGGGGCACAGGTTTATGGCATGGTAATGAATGATCATGGGTATGAACTCTGACATCCATAGAACATTTTACACAATAATACGCCTACCTTTAACGTACCCACTGTTTTAAACTGGCAGCATTCGACGTCTTCATAACAGTTAACAACGAAGAGACAGAAGACTTTAGCAGACATATATGACTGACGTCTTCAAAGTACATTGGACGCAACTTTAAATGTCAACATAATCGGTCGGCAGCAGCCATGTAGGTTTTGAAATATGTTACGTCGTATTTGGGGAGCGTCATAAAGGAGGGAAGATTAAGAGTGTTGCGGTCGGCATGGGCCGCACATCAATTCATATCTTCGATGCCGGATGATCGCCCTTCATGTAGCAAACAGTAATAAAAGTTTAACAGCCGGTGGAACCTTGACAACAGGTCATGAAAAATGGATTCAATTTGTCGCGGTAACATTGCGTAAAACGTCTGGTGCCAGCTTTGTGGAAAGGGTACGTTTGGGAGATGGCCCGGTGCAGTATGCGGGTTACTTAATCGCCCTGTTGTGGCTACAAGGGTGCCCTTAAGGCACAGTGTGTAATTAGAAATTGATCAGAGAAAGAAAATCATTGCCTGTAATGGTAGGGGTTACCAGATAGAGTGGGATGAAATGAGCAAGCAGTAGATCATATTTCCTCTGATTTGTGTGAAGACATAGGCATAACCTGATGAGACCCATACTTTTGTATCCCCGGTTGGATACTGATATGAAATGATATTTTTGTATGAAACTTTATTCTGCTGTGGGATTTATGATAAATATTAATGTCAGACTGTAATTTTTTGCCTAACTACACGTTGGTAGCTCCCTCGTGGTATGGCAAGTGGATTTTATGGCAGTGTAATATGAAATAACTTATATTCTCATCTCATTCTTCTTCTGGTTGGAGCAAAAGACGTAGTCAGGTATCTTTTGATTTAGAACAAGTTAAATAAAGATATGAAAGATTAAGAAAAGATTACAAAGCTGGGCTTTATACTCTGAATGCTTTCATGCCATCGTAAATGTATGTAAAAAAGGATGTACATTTAAGACTGTTGTTGTTCCTTTGCCAATATTATTGCAAAATTAGTGCCTTGAGTAAAATTTAATTTTGGTGGGTATTTTGGTGCAACACTTTTTTGTTCTCGTCAGTTGGGCCTAGTCACACCATGGAGGTAAAAAAAATTATTCCGTGGTCACACTCAAGGCAGCCAGTTCCTTCATATTTACATTTTTGTACATCATGCCTTATTCATTGTTCATACATTTATGTACATCATAACTACATGCAGCCCGGATATGGCAAAAGAATGTCACACACTTCTAACCCCAGACATGTCTTGTACCTAAATGTAAGAATAATTTGTTTTGTTTGTAATGTAAAACAGTCTGACTCTGTGTATACGTGTTATCCATTCCGGGATATTTTCAGTGACAGCCTTTTTATTTTGGCCCCCGTGACACCATTAGCCGCACATATTTAGCCCCCGCTTCCGTATTTAAAACGTAGAAGTCAGTGTAGGTTACGTGTGCCATAAGGGTAGGGTTATTAAACATGTATCGTGAATGCCGAGCATGTGCGCTGATGCTAATTCGGTCCTTCATGTAAATATGGGCTGACAGAACATTGGCATGAAGACAAGCATGTGAAACATGGCTCTGGGCCTGTTATAGGGACATAACAAGTTGCTGTCAAAGTGTCTGCATATGACAGGGGGATGTGTCTGAGTCAATAAAATCAGCAGTGCTGTCAGATATTTGCTTTGATTCTAGCAGTTTGAGTTGGTAGAAAAAAATACACAAGCTGGAGTGACCGTTGGCTATGCTACATGCCAATGTTAAACCAATGTCTGAGTGAGGACATTCTTTTGATGATAACAGAACATGATACCATGGAAAAACAACAAGCCTTGTAATACTTACATTGCTTACATTCTGTGTGGTCCTTACTAAATTTACAAAACTGCTGCTCAAGCAAGTGCCACTCCCATTGCGGTCCTCAATATTATGCTCCCCTGGCGCTGCAGTTCACCTTGATGTTACTAGAGTGCGCTTTTCAGCCAGGTGTCAAGGGCTAAGTAGTTGAGTGGCATGTTCCTGACTTGCCTAGGAGATGAGAGAAGACTATGAATATTTGAAAGGATTGTTCTCTAGATTTACAAGGTAAAATGGTGCACATTGATGGGTTCTTATCTCTCCGATGCACTATCTCCGCTGCCTAGCCGAGCATCAGAAATTACATTTCCTGCATGTGTTACTGTTGCCATCTTGCCCCGGGTCAAATTAATATAGTTTTATGACTGGACCCAGAGCATTA